TCTGTGCTTGCCAATGACTTCTTTGACTTCTTTTTCTTCTTCTTATTCTTCTTACTTTTCTTCGCCTTCTTCTTGCTTTTCTTCTCTTTCTTGTCACTGTCTTCCCCTTCTTCACTCTTGGAATCCCCAGCACTTGCTCCTTGACCAAATAATGTTTCTGCTATGAACTCTCCAACTTCTTTCTCCATGCCTGCGAATTTTGTCAACAGTCCAGAATAACATAATACAGTGCCCCCCCGCCTAACAGACCTCCCATGTAAGGGATTTTTGCCAAACAGACCAGCTCTGCAAGCAGTTTTTCCTCCTGCCCAACAGACAAAATCTGCCAAACAGACTTCTTTAAGTTTAAAATTAGTGTTGAAAACTGAAATTTTTAACTTTTTATGTAATTGAATTTGTGATGTAAAGGACTTTTTGTCTAACAGACTTGTCCCTTGCACAAATAAAGTCCATTAGACAGGGGTTGACTGTACAGCTTATTCAAGGTTTAGAAGCCAGTAATGTGAAGAACTTTCGAGTGTCATGAATATTGTAACATAAGAAATGCATGGTCATCTTTTGCACACACTGCAATTCAGCTGCGAAAAATCTCATTAAAAAAATTTGTCAGAATATTCTCTAAGTTCTGGAAGTTTCTTCATTTAGTCAAAGTTGTGACAATTTTTTCATAAACCCATAATTTTCCTATCTATACTCTCAATTTTTATTAATTATGTATTTATGTGTGCTCAGGCCATACAAATTTTGCAGATTGTGCAATGGTATAGTCTGTTGTGTGAAAAGTCTGTTATGCAAATCCAATATGAAAAAGTTAAAATTTCTACTTTTTATCAAGAATTTGAAACCAACAGAAGTGTTTTATGCAGCTTCAGAAGGGAAAGCCACCTGCAGAAGGGGGTCTGTTGTACAAAAATCCATTGAGCAGGGTCAAATGTTCTCCAATTTTAATGTTTTACATAAACTTTTAAATTGTTGCGTTGATTTTCAGGCATGTTTCAATGGACCTAGTTGTAGTTTAGGTAGAAAATCGACCAGATTACAATACCTCGATTTTCCAGGTGACATTCGTTGTAGGAACGCAACTAGGAGACGCCTTTACCTATACTACGTTTCATTCTGGGCCAGAGGGGGTAAACCCCATAAAAGGAAGGTTTCAAAGTAGAAAGGGTTTTGACCCTTGTTTTTAAAAGTCCCTGATTTTACTCATTGGTTAAGGTATTGCATTTTCGATCTACTTTGCTAACTCGTTCACTTTTTGGACGCATTTTTTTAATCTGGACGAGGATTTCGAGAAGAAATTTACGAAAATTTTACATCTTTCCACTTCGTATTTTTGTGCATTCTTCATATTTTTTTAAATCTACGCTGAACTTTCATAATGCTCAAAAGAATATGGGGTATTTTTTTCTCCACGGAAAGGATTTATTGGTTTTATTCACCCGCTCATTTGATTATACAATATTTTTCATTTTCGAAACACCATGAGGGTTTCTTTGAAATTTTCAAGTGTGCTTGCGTTTCTCAAAATTGCAGTCGTTTTTGCATCGAAGTGAAACCTTTGCATCCATTTCAAAGTGAAATCCTTGATTATTTGATTAGCACTTGGATTGAAGGCCAAAATAAAGCCATCCGAAGTGTTTTCAGATGCAGTA